TATTACACAAGCCTACCTTCCATGCATAAAACAGCTGGGAACAGTGATAATGTGATAATCCCAGTCCTCGAGCGAGAGCAGAAGGTATTTGAATAATCTTGACAGCAATCTTGCTCATAAGGAAGTCTCTTTTCCCCAGTCTGATCATCTGTGTGAACGCCTGCCTGTGATAAAAGGAATAAACAGGCTCTTTACTGCCAAGGTATTCAAATGCTGTCTTGTCTTTCTCTTTCGAACACAGACAGACTGAAGACTATACTCGGTTGGTTTCCTGCCTTACCAATGTGTGGCTAAATGAAGCTAAGCGGATATATTTTTAGCACTGACGTTTTTTTCACCTTTCGTCCAGACAGGCCCACATCACTCAAAGCCTCATGCTCCTCACAGATACTGTGACTGTCTTTTTATCTCCTTTATTGTGCAAATAAAACCGGACATCACACTTTTTTACAGATACCAAAACCTGAGCTCCACCCCTTTTTGATCTTGCGAAGAAAAGGGAACTGTTAGTAACATTAGATATAACCCAGATTATGATGTGACTATATGATAGCATTCATAACCATGATTATTTACTGGCCCAACTTATGCAGATGACCCCTGACAACGAGTTTCTGGAAAAACAAACAATAATAAATAACTTGCAGAACATTCAGACATTCATCTGACATTCATCAAAACAGGATGTGGTCATTCTGGTTTTATATTACTGACCAATTAAATCTTTGGAGAAACAGAATGAGGACAGCAGTGGTTTAAAGAATTACCCACAAGGAGTTTACCTGCTGTAAAAGCTTTACGTCGGAAAGTCATAATATTTCAATTGTCATCTTTCCTTACTTTTAACGACAATGTCTCTTCTACGACTTGACCAACCTAAACGACCCAAGATGATGTCTGTGTTTAAGGTTCGTAAACTTGGTCCAGTTTTTATTAGAAGCTGTTTATATTGAACTTTTTGGGTTACACTTTCTTTGTTACTTTTTGAGTACTGCGTAATATTGAGGAATGTATTTACTATAGGGGTTAGGATCAGCATTTGGATTAGGGTTAGTTGCATGTAATTATGCATCATTTATTTATTAGGCTACTAGTAACTACTACAAGTAACATGTACTGTAAAAATGATATAAAAATACAGTGTTACCACGTTGTGCTTATTCAGTCATTTCTATATATTAATTAGACTTATTTTTAAAAATCATGTTTAATGTATTATACTTCTTTCCTAATTTTCCCTGAGCGAGTGATTCAAAAATTATTGTGAGCAACACTTGTTATTTCACACACACACACACACACACACACACACACACACACACACACACACACACACACACACACACACACACACACACACACACACACACACACACACACACACATATATATGAAATACTGTAGTGTTATATGCCATGAATGCTTAACAGCATATTTGTTGAATCACTATATTAAAATGTCAACAATAATCAGATTTCTTAGATCTATTACGTTGACACTATGTAAAGCATCTAGATTGAGGCAAACAACAACAAAAATAAAGACATTTGCATCGCTATTATTTTAACTCTTCTCATACTTTGAATAAGTAGGCTATACATAAGAATTAATGTAATGATAACCGTGACAACATATAACCGAAGTTCATAGGAAGTAGATTGATTTTTGAGCCATGAGAATCACAAAAAGCTAGTTATGAAAAATCACAGAACATTTTCAATCGACCTACCTCTCGTGCCTGTCTTAAATTCATTCACACTTTACAGATGACAGATGAGCGCAGCGTTTGTGTAGCCCCGCCCACATCGAACACGTCACTTCCCACAATCAACAAAGCAAATTAATGAAGTCTCTGTAATCATTTGATCGACTGATAACATTTTGAGAAATGACGTACATAAGGAACTCTTCCAAATAAATAAATAAATAAACTAAATGAGGAGCTCTACTCAAATAAATAAACAAATAAATAAATAAATAAGAAGGCTAAACTACATAAGTTTCTCAAATTATTTATATATATATATATATATATATATTTCAATGAAAAAATGTCACATATAGGCTAATGTATCAATAAATAAATATATAAAAAAACATATAAATAAAATATAATATTTGGCAAACCAATACAATATGCATTATGCATATCTGCTTTCTAAGATTACAGACTCCGGTAACTCAAACATTTTACATAGTTATATTTGTACACACAGCTCTGTTTGTATGCGAGGAAACAGCATCCTTCCTATTCATATACCACAACCTGTGCACTCAGAGAACACCTCACATGTAGCTTTTCATTCTCATTTCACCCCAAAACGAGATGATAAGCTGCTTGACGGATGGCCATCTATCGTGCTTTTTACATGCACAAATGTAGCAGTTATAATGACAACCACAATACCAGCCCTTGCTCTTAAAAATCCATTCATAGCACATGGGAACTAAAACACTGGTTTGCACAAAATAACATAACTTCCACCTGAAGTAGACACTGTTACGACATTACCACCAAAGAGGTAAAATAAGAAGTTAATTTGCGATATTTATGTAAAAGAGGACATGAGAAACCTGACACTGCTTTGCAGGCACATGCATTTCCTTTTTTCAGTGGTTTTAAACTGACCTATGTTCACATGCGTGAGTCATCATAGGTCAGTTGTCATAAAAATCCATTGTGCCTACGTGAATCGAACGAAACCCAATACTGATGGAAAAATCTGAAGTCGTCTTATACCACGCAAGTGGGAAGCAGCCCACGACGCATCAGTGCTAAAATAGAGTCTGTATAATGATGTGCTAGACGGACGCAGTTTCAGTGAACCTCAGACTTAGTAGCCTATATTTGTTAAGACACATCTTTGGTAATGATGGAAAACCTGCTATTTGTCTGAGACCTGTGATGATGACATTATTCCAGTTTGTCCGTGACTTCAGCACCAAGGACAGTGGCAAGAAAAAATGACATATAGGATAAAAAACCCCCAAAATGCATTCATCTTCTGCCAAGAAACAAAAAAAAAACTCATGTGATCCAATTTAGTGATTTTAGAAGATGGTCTGCTTATGAATGTGTTGCTTTTTTAAAGTCGGCATAAAAACAGAAGTTGTGATAGCCTTTACTTCCCTGTTGTGACGCAGGCCTGAGTGAAATTGCGGCTCGGACAAGAACAAATGTAGGGCGGGGCTTGATTTTGTCCATGAGGAATTGATTGGATGGTTATGGTTTGCTAGTGCTGTGATGTATGAGTGACAGGTTGTCCCGCCCTCGCCTAAGTAAACATCATCAGAGAAGAAATGTTGTTACAAGAGCGAGGATTAAAGATTATGAGGACAATAGTGTCAACTTTGATTTTTTGTATTTGAACACAATACATAATGCTAATGATTGTTCCCTGTTTAAATCTTTCTGTCACTTCTCCTCAGCATCTTGAGGAGTGTCATGGACTCTGTAAACTCTATAGCTTGCAAAAAATATCGAAATTTTTATAATTTTAGGTGGATGTCAACATGGGAGCATCTACTACGTGTCTGTTTACATGCGAGGCCTAACATAACATTTTTAACTGCATTGAAGGTGGCAAAGTTCTTATAGCTTGAAACCTAAAACTATGGAGAAACAATGGCACATATATTTGTATATATATATATATATATATATATATATATTAAAAAAATTAAAATAACACGGGTAACAAGTTGAGAGCTGCCAAATATTAAATGTTATCCAGAGTAAATTAATTTTACAAGCTAGCTAGAAAATTAGTTAAAGTAAAGTAAGGAGAAAATATAGTTAGCAAAGTAATCCTCGTACACTTTAAAAAGTGATCAATTGACCCATTGCCTTAAAATTCTTAAGTAAATAAACGTCATACATAAATGAAAAAATTAAGTTATGTTGAATTGCCAAGTTCACTCAACTTAATTATTTCAATTATGCATGTTTATTACTTTAAAATGTTAAGATAAAGAGTTTCTTCACTTTTTTTAGTGTATTAAGGTAAGTGAAGAGAGACCTCTAGTGATTCTCTGTTGATCGGACTATTCTCCAGTCTACCACACGGTGTCGTTGTTTCTTTATTGTGAGGAACCGTGAATCAACAACTGGGCACGGTGGGTGGCCAAGAGTTGCGTAATCAGAACTGCGTCTGGAATTGAATGTACATGTAGGCTATGATGTGCATATGCTATTTATTTCCGTTTTTAGAGATTTAACGGAGCGTTCTGTAAAAAGGGTTAGGGTTTATAACTCAACATGCAATGTAGGCTATAACTTGGCAATCGTGTAGCTGGAAAGCTTCTATTGTGCATGCAATGTCAGTTTGTCGAGAAGTCAATCTGTATTTCCATCCATCCATTCATCACTTTATTTTTGGTGCTTTAGATGTATTGCAGTGTAAATTGTCTGCTGTTTTAGTATGTGGTTCGTATTTATGGGAAATGTTGTTCTATGCGATATTTAAATTGAATTAAAAATAACTTTAATATTTTTTTTATTTTATTTTGTAATGAAACGAACACAGATTAAGACGTTTTGTGCCACTTTACATTTTTTTTCATAATTTCAGGTTGATATTTGCCAGAATTTCTCTATTTCGCCACTTTTTTTAACACCTTTTAATCCCCATCTACAAAATGACAAAAAAGTGTTAGTCAGGGGAAATTCTACTTTTTCTCAAGGCTTCAAAAATATACATTTTTGTTCAATAATTTGGTCTGTGTGTTTTTAAATTGCATTCCAGAAAAAAAGCTCTCAACAAAACTGAAGTCATGGCGCATAAATAAAACGGTTTAAATGTGAGATTTTCAAGACTGAGAGTAGTCGAAAATTACCCTGTAATTACGAATAACTCAAAATGCAACTAGATAAACGTACATCAGAATTCCATTGTGCTTGCACACAGGGCAATAAAGCGCTTTACTCATGCAGGCGCACAGAGAGAATGGTGAATGACTGAACCCCCTTCCTATTGAATACAGGCAGAGCAGCAGAAAGAGAGAAGGGCTGAGCTGCGACACTCAGTCACAGTCACAGAGAGGCAGAGGTGTGAGTGAGTTAGGCAGAGGAAGAAAGGGAGACTTGGAAAGTAATAGCAGGTTTTCTGTTTCATTTTGGTTGAAAGTGGGAAAGAGATTACAACATATCCGGCAGTGAGAAAAGAAAGGGAGAGAACCCTATAATTTCTTTTTTAGAGGGGTTTGTCATACTTCTCCACCCGAATAAAGCAGTCTCTCTGAGGTATAGTGCACTTTGTGGATTTGTCTTTAAGAAAAGTCGCCTACAATTACGCATAAATCTTTCACACACTTTTTTTTCTTCAACATAGCATGTAGGAAACTCCATGCTAGATTGCATATTGCATTTCAAAACGAGTCCTTTTTTACATGCAAAAACGATTCTTTTCTGTTCAGTGCAGTTTCAGGGACACTGAGGACCAGGGGTTGCAATGATAAGGATTTTGGTAACTTGCGTCTCCATGGTGTCCATCACCGCGATGGTGGCTGGTGGTCGTGGTGGATACGGAATGAGTATGTTCGCGGCTCAATCCTCTCCCCCGGACCCTTGTTACGACGAGAACGGCAACCCCAGACGCTGCATCCCCGACTTTGTGAACTCCGCGTTCGGGAAGGACGTGCGCGTGTCCAGCACCTGCGGCACCCCGGCGTCGCGGTACTGCGTGGTGACCGAGAAGGGCGAGGAAAGATCGAGGGACTGCAACATCTGCGACGCCACGGACCCCAAGAAGACCCATCCACCTGCGTATCTCACAGACCTCAACAACCCTCACAACCTCACCTGTTGGCAATCGGAGAACTACCTGCAATACCCCCAAAATGTGACCCTGACGCTGTCCCTGGGGAAGAAGTTCGAGGTGACCTACGTGAGCCTCCAGTTCTGCTCTCCTCGTCCTGAATCCATGGCCATCCTCAAGTCCATGGATTATGGGAAGACCTGGGTGCCCTTTCAGTTCTACTCAACCCAGTGCAAGAAAATGTACAACAAGCCGAGCAAAGCTGCGATCACCAAGCAGAACGAGCAGGAAGCGATCTGCACGGACTCTCACACGGACATGCAGCCGTTAACAGGTGGGCTCATCGCGTTCAGCACGCTGGATGGCAGACCTTCCGCGCATGACTTCGACAACTCTCCCGTCCTGCAGGACTGGGTCACGGCCACCGATATCAAAGTGATCTTCAACCGGCTGCACACGTTCGGGGATGAGAATGAGGATGACTCGGAGCTCGCCAGGGAGTCGTATTTTTACGCGGTGTCTGACCTGCAGGTCGGCGGTCGCTGCAAGTGTAACGGGCACGCGTCAAAGTGCGTCAAGGACCGGGAAGGGAACCTAGTGTGTGAGTGCAAGCACAACACGGCGGGACCGGAGTGTGACAGGTGTAAGCCGTTCCACTACGACCGGCCGTGGCAGCGCGCGACGGCCAGAGAGGCGAACGAATGTGTCGGTGAGTGCTGATGGTTCTTTGAAAGGAAATACGTCATAATAGGTTATTATAATGGTGGTATATGAAAATATATGCATCAGATTTTTTCTATTTTAAAGTGCTTTTTTAATTTTAATCAACTTTGTTAAGTGTTTCCCCAGTCATGAGAGACCACACATGAAATTAATTCAAACCTTAAAATAAACAGGTTTCTTGGTTTTAGAAAGTAATTGTCTCGTAACGGTGGTGTTTTTGATGGCCACAATTGTGTATTTAATTAGAAAAAAGCAAATAAACGACATCAGTGGCCTAAGATTTTTGGCCTCACCAGAGGTAGAAGTTTTCCAAAATGTTTAAAAGGTTGGACGAAAAGTAAAAACAAACAAAAAAAGGTCACAGTTCTCACTGTTAACTATTAACCTTTCTACCTCAATAAACTCCTAATTACTGCCTATTCATTGTTAGATGTTAAGTTTCGCTATTGGGTATAAATAAGGCATAGAGAATGGTCATTAATACTAATATGCATTCTAATAGAACAACTACCTTACTAACTATGAATAAGCAGTAATTAGGAGTTTATTGAGGAGGAAGTCCTAATAATAATAATAAAAAAAAATCTGGACCACTAAAACGTATTATATATCCAGTAGCCTATGTTATGCACATGGCATGGTTTGTTTAAATGAATTGCCAGACTCTTGTATCATTCATTATTTTTTCTTGATGAATTGATCAAATTTAGTTCCAAAAGTAATACCAATCAATTCAAATGGAACATGCAGAGTCATATTCATCTTTATTCATTTCATGCAATCTATTAATATGTATTTGTTCTATAAGCAAACAAATCCTTACAAACTTTGAATTTTGTATCAGACCTGAAACACTACTTTTATTTAATATATATATATATATATATATATATTTATTCAGTTTGTTCAATGCACTAAATAAACAGCATTCATTCTAATTTAAAATATTTACATCAGTTTGTGAGCAGGATACACTGTAAAACAATATATGACTTATTACAAAACAAAAAAATCTGTCAAATCAACTTATACTTAATGTGGCTCAGATAACATAATATTTTGAGTTTCTGTTGATTACACCAAACCCCATTGTATTAACTCAAAAAATAGGAAGGCAACCATCACTTACTTTTTTTTTTAAAAATGAAACCAACAATAATTTTTGCAGTGCCTTTTCTTCACATTTTATGTTAATACTTCAGAAAAAGTAACTAAATTGAACTAGAAACCACATTTCACCTGAGTCGTATCCACATCAGCGCCTATATAATATTTGCTCTTACAACAGTAATAAGTTGATTAGATTTGGGACATTTATTGCATTTCCTTATTTAGTAAAATCAAAGTCATCTATTTGAAATCTTTAGCTTGAAATCTTTGACATGTCCAACCATTTTGTTAGTTTCACAAAAGTAAGCAAAACTGGTTGCATTAAAATTTTAAGTTCATTGAAATTGAGTTAATACAATGAAAGAAATTGGTTTAATCAACATGAACTCAAAATATTATGTTATGTCATTTTTACTTCAATGTGTGGGTGTATCTGCGTTTGGAAGTGCCTTTCAACATCCATTCTGTGGAAGGAAACATTCTGGAGGGAGAGAAAAGGCTTGTCGTGTTATTGCAAGACAGGTGTCATTATCAGATTGAAAGCGAGATTACATCAGTTTTGTTGTTTGTTTTTGTAAGTTGAAAGTAAACTGCTTGTTTCCAGATGAAAAGTTAGTTTCTCCAGCCAAGGAAGAAAAATATATATATATTAGAATGTTATTGTGAAACTCGTGCAGACTCAATGATTCTAATCATTTTCTCAATTTTAAAAGGGGCTCCTGCAGGTGTTTCATCAACATCTACGATTGTAAATTTCATGATAAGTTCTTTTGGTCTGTCACATTAATGCCGTAAAAAAGATTTCCTCTATTGCAAGCACGACTCCATAACAAAAGCATCAAGCTGTCAGCAAAGGCTCTATTTGATGAGGTTGTTGTCACTTGGCAAAGTCTAAAAGTAAATTAAAAATGTGTGAATAGATATGAAACACTCCTGACAGATGGCCGTCACGCATATGCGAACGTTGTTGTGCAGCAAATTAATGTGTCAGTAGGTTTGTGGTTATAAATAAAAGTTTGTTCCCATGAATGGAGAATGAGGGCACCATCATGATATGAGAGATGACTGACGGAAGCTGTTTTCTCACAGTGTGCTTTTGCACGCGACAATGTTGAGCTGAACAGGAAGGCTTGATGATGAAGCTGTAAATGAGATCTGTGACAGAATCCCCCCCCCCCAAAAAAAGGCAAAAAGTTTTGTCTCAAACAGTTTCAAAGAGATTGTTCCATCTGGTACGAACTTACTTGCTTTGTTTAAATGATTCATAATTAAGATTAAGTCTCTCTGTGCGGATTCTTTCCATTCTTCTCGGTGGGGCAAGGCAGGTATTTGAGGGAAATTAGGTGTAGCGTTCACAGGTTGATAGGAATGTTATCTAGATAGATACTTCCGGCATTGATGTATGTTCTGTACAATTCTTGCCAAACTTGCAAAAACATGCAGAGCAAAAAAGCCATTATCACCGCATGTCAGACAAAATACGTCATGTTGAACAGATAAATGTATGTGTTTTATAATTATATACTATTGTGCATTATGATTATAATAGAACTTGATAGATACAACTTTAGTTCATTAGCAAACACTGAAACCAGTCTTGCTGTTTGAAAATACATTAAATATCACCACAATATTTTGAAGAATACAGAATAGGATGTCTTCATTTAGTTTCATGACCACACATGATAGCAATGGTTCTTCCTAATAAGAGAAGGAAGTCTATCCTCAAATGCTGTGGCCTAAAGTCACTGATATTGTCAATAAATTCTATTAATGATTTGATAGGAAATACTTGTCAAACATCTCTGCAAAATCAACGGCGCACAAAAAGTGTTTAAAATTCGTTTTTGGATTTCACAATCAGATCCATCATTCAAACGTGTGCATTCATTTTAAATGCAGCTTTTAAAAAATGCTTTGCATTGATTTTTGATGAATGCAATTATTAATAAAGCTCTGACATGCATGTGTACATTTGGTCAGTTTAATCAAGAAAGATGCTTTGTTTCAGATGGAAAATTATGTTACACAAAACTGTACAGTAGTTTTCAGAGTACGTTCAGGGCTTGGTATGTGAACTTTGTATCTTTGTAAGATATGAGTGGTGTTATCAAGAAAATATTTTGAAATAATCTGCACATGACTTAAGATCCCTCAGAAAGATCATCACTTGTGTACATGAACATGTTTTTGACGGACAATTTTTGTGTGGTTTTAAAAACAAAAAGTGCCATTGGATTTAATATATCCCACAATGCGGCTCAAAATGAGCTACTAAACTTAATTTAAAAGGGCAAAAGTGATAAAAACTGAAAATTTCATTGACGACCCACACACTGAAACACAAAATTTCAGAAACAAAGATGAGTACATATCTGAAAACTTTCAAGAAGTCCATTTTTATGTAGTTGAAACAAAATGTTGTCATTGACTAAATGTTCCCATAAGCAAGTTGACCCGCGGGTGGAAGCTGATTGAGCCAGACGTGCATCGCAGCCCTTGACACAGAGCAGACGGCTGGAATTGTCCTGGCCGTTGGATCTCTCTGCATTGTTCCACTCGTAGTGTTTTTGGCCTGCTGTGATGTGAGCAGACTAACAGGAACCGTGAGCAGATTTCTGGGCTACCATGAAGAGCTGCTCGAGGTCTGTGGACCATCTGTGGGTTTCTCAGTCGTGTTGCTGGACCATAAGTCTGATGAAAGAATTGTGCAAAAGGGTGATGTCATACAACCTCTCGGGTCCCCCTGCAGAAAACAACGACTTTCAGTTCCTTATTCGTGTTTAAATGAGGCATCAGGAACAATTTTCCTTTTAGCAGCTTAGAGCTTTTTAAAATTTTCTCAGCTTTTTCTACGCTATCTCACGACCAATTCGTACGAATTCAACGAAAGATTAAAAAAGTGGCTAATTCGTAACAATTCGTATGACCTCACTCGTACGAATTCGTCTAAACCGACGTGATGGGTAGGTTTAGGGGCGGGGTAAGGGGTAGGTCATTCGTACGAATTCATACGAATTGGCCAATTTGTAAAATATATACGATTTAGCAAAATCGTACTAATTTGTGCGAGTGAGGTTGTATGAATTGTTACGAATTAGCCACTTTTTAATCATTCGTCGAATTCGTACGATTTGGTTGTGAGATCGGGTTGGCTTTTTTTATCAGTTTTCCATCACTGCAGCGTCACACTAAGTAAAAAGGACAGACAATAGTTCAGACAATAGAGCATGGCGCTAGCAACGCCAAGGTCATGGGTTCGATTCCCAGGGAAAGCACCAATACTGCGTCAGAAATCAAATATTTTCTTACTATGAAGTATGCGAAAAGCAGTATGCTAACAGAGTATGTCATACATAAATACATAGCATTTGATGGGATAAATACATGAGCATACTTCCGGAGAGATTCTAAAATGCATACAATGTACACTTTATTATCCCATGGGGCCATAGGAGAGGATTTGTGAATGACAGTGAACTGACGCAGGTACAGTAGGTCACGTGATATCCCCCTGAGACGAGAGATTTATGTATTTTTTGTGTGGAAAAAATCCTCTGATGACGTCATTTTGCATTTCGCGCTCTATTACCGGTAGGCGTAGCCTTCTAGGGCAGCGAAGCAAGTGCTTTCTGGGAGTTGTTGTCTTTCATCCACATAAGCCAAAAATACATTTTCTGACTTTTTTCAGTCTAGAAAGCTCCAAATTCAAAAATATTTTCACATTTCTTCTAAATGAATGACCCATTTTAAATACACATTCACCTTTGCAGAGGTGAAGTATCCCTTTAAATGCAGTTTAAGCTGCTTTGTATAAAAGGGTCTCCCAAATGTATACGTAAATGAGTGCAGCCCCACCTACTGTGAAATCTGATC